GACCGGGGAGCCCGCCTCACCTCGCGGGGTAGCGGGGACAGGGCGGGGGGCTGCGGGGGTTGTGTCTGAAATGCCGCCGCCGGGGCAGCCTGCCGAAGGCGGCCCCCTGGACACGGCCCAGCTCCCCCCCGAGGCGCGGGTTGTCATCTCTGAACAAGCCTCCCCTCCCCTCTCTATCCCTCTCTTTCAGAGGCCGTACGTTTGCGATTATGAAGGCTGCGGTAAAGGTTTCACCAGGGACTTCCACCGCGCTCGACACCTTCTTACGCACACCGGGGAAAAGCCCTTCGCGTAAGGCCAATTTTTTTGCTTCTTGAAATGGATTACGCTTGTCTGTACGGAAACGAAGGGGGAGTTAGAACTGGTGCATAGGTGGCACAGAGCACATCTGCCTGGCTTTGGGATGGTGATACTGCCATAACAGTACTCACAACACTCATCACAGCGCACGCAGGGTGAGATGTCGGGAACCTCCCTCACCTAAAACCTGCCTGGCAGTGATCCATAATAGATGCTTAAAGGAACGGGCAGATCTCTCCTTAGAGTACAGAATTAAAAGAAGGAAGGGCAGTTGTCTCTTGTTGCTAAGCCATTAATAGCTGTATGTCATTGATTAGAAGCTACGAATTCCCATGTGTTTTATTAAAAATCTCTTCTGATAAGCTTTCCTGTGGCTTTTGATTGTAACAGCTTCTGGCCTTTCTTGTCTTTTATATTTAGGTTGTGGGTTTTGGTTATTCCTCACGTATTCCTCTTACCCAGTGATTTCTGTGTCTGCCTAGGAAACAAATCACTGAGAGTTATAATAAAAAATGCAGTTCATTTGCAGGTGCACAGCTGATGGATGCAATCAGAAATTTGGAACAAAATCAAACTTAAAAAAACATGTTGAGCGCAAGCATCAAAATCAGCAAAAGCAGTATGTGGTGAGTAATTACCTTTGATACTGTAAAGTAGAGGCTAAACAAGCTCCTTTTTGTCTATCTAGTGAAATACTTCAACTTGTTATTATGCGGTATTTGTATGAGTTCAAATACTGCAATTGGGATTTCAGCAAACACATGTGGACTGGGCTGTCATCATTTGGCTCCTAATGATAACTTAATTTCCTAAATAGTGCGACTTTGAAGGCTGTAACAAGTCTTTCAGGAAGCATCAACAACTTAAAGTTCATCAGTGTCACCACACCAATGAACCTCCCTTCAAGTAGGTGGATAATTTTAATAATGAACTTCTAACAATTCCATGTAAACACTGTAGATGAAAACAGGTGCCTTTTCTCAACCTTTTCTTTGATGTGGCGTTTAAAAAAACCCAGCTGGCATGAATTTGTTATTTCATGGCTGCAAGTACATTTCTTGTATTAGTCCTTTGCCCTGTAGTCTGTTTTGAGCAACAGTCTTGGTGCTCTGTAACTTTAGCATTCCAGCTGTTTTCTTAGGATTTATTACAGGGTCACAGGAATAATAAACAAAAAGTTTTTAGTTCAGAGAGTCTGAAATACAAGCATAAAAGCTTGCACGGTAATGAAAAATGCAGCTACCTCTGTTTTCCAGTAAAAAGCAGTGACTTGGCTAACATTGAAGTGAGTGGTAGCCTAAAAAAGGTGAGAGGCTTGGACACCAGCTGTTCATTGCAACCCCATTATTTACATGATACATCAGTATAGATCTGATGAAAGCAAAGTTTAGTTTTGTATTTCTTACAGGTGGAACACGCTTTACAGGAGTGTTCCACTTCAGTGAAGTGCACTGGTATGGCTGTGTGACAGGTACAAAAATACTGTCAGTGCTCTGCCACTGCTCTGACGGTTAGATCAGTACAAACCACTTAAACCCTCCACTTTCTATCTCTCTTTTATGTTTGAAGAGCCTACTGTGTAGGGATGAAATGAGGCTTGATTCTTTCGTTAAAGCTTAGCTTGCTGTATATATGGAAGTCATACCGTAGTTTTAACTCTCGAGGGGATCAGAGTCCTCTATTAGAAACATACTATGGAGTTTACTTTTACAAGGTGGGAGGAGGGACAGAACAGACCTCTAGGCAAGGGGAAACTTGGATTATTTTGTCCACTTTAATTGTTCCTGACTTCAAGAACAAAAAATACGCAGAAATTAAACCAGTGTATTTTATACCTAGATGTAGTAATGAAGGATGTGGAAAGTACTTTTCTACTCCAAGTCGACTAAAGCGGCATGAGAAGGTACATGAAGGTAATACAGTTTTTCTTCTTGCTTCAGTTATGTTTTAGTAAAGGAAAAAGGACTTTTTCCAGTACAGAGAGTATGCAGGGATGTATGACAGATGTGAAAGTATTCTGGGCCTAGTGATCCAGACAGGCAAAACCAGGACACCTGTTTTGAATAGTCAAATAGGATACAATTGCAAGGCATTGCAGTATTCAGTTACAGTGTACTTGTGGCAGAGCTCAGTATTCCTTCAGTCATTTCTTCTCCTAATGTGCTTCCTTGTCAGTAATCCATCTTCTGGAGATGGGCTAATGGTTAAGGCACTAGCCTAGACCTCCAGAGGTTAGGATCAATTGCCAGTTCTGCAACAAATTTTGTTGGCAAGGAAAGCCATGGCAAAACCTTGGCCTTGGCAAAACCATGTAGACTTGCATTTTTAAAGTTATTCATGTATGTATGCTAAAGATATTTAAGGTGAATCATCAGGAGGTTATCAGGTATGTTTGAACTAATTCTGCTACACTCCTATCCATTCTTCCAGCTTTTCAGTGCTAGAAGAAAAAACAAACCCAAGGGACTAAGAAGACTATCCAAAAAGCTGCAATTTGTACTGTGTTCCTTTCTTAAGACAGGGGCTTGTTCATCGTTGTTTGACCTTTCCAGTCCTGGGATTCAAATAGTGTTGACTTTCTGTGGTTCCTTTAAAAACCATCCTGTCTGCTTGGTAGAATGGTAGACACTCTTTAAACTGTGGAATATTACTGTATGGTCAAGATCTGGGTTTTTAATACATAATACAAATATTTATATAGAAATAATATCTAGTACTCCAGTTATTTTCATCTGTGTGAGCGAAAGTCTGGTGAGGAAGTAGCTTTACTGAAGCAAGGAGAGAGAGTTTCATAAAATCATTTCATTGGAAAGGACCTCTGGAGGTCATCTGGTCCAGCTGCCTGCACAACGCAGGGTCAATTAGACCAGATTGCTGAGGACTGCATCCAGTCAAGTTTTGAGTATTTCCAGGGGTAGGAATTCCACACTATGGAAAACTTGTGTCAGTGATACAAGGTTTCTTCCTTAAACCTGTTAGGATTTTCTCATGTTCTAAATTGTGTTTGTTGCCTCTTGTCCCGTCGTGGTGCAGTATGGGAGGAGAGAAGGAATACTGGCCCTTAATTTTCAAACGCTAAAAGTGGAGTTCCTCCTTGTAAAACTGTACTGTGTTAGCCAGAACCTTAGTGACTGTAAACATCTGTCCTGTCCAACAGGCTATGCATGCAAGAAAGAAAACTGCTCGTTTACTGGAAAAACTTGGACAGAGCTTCTGAAACATAATAAAGTCAGTCATACAGGTAAATTCCAAATGCTTTAGTAAATAGAACTTAACTTTTGATAACAAATAGGAAACAAACTGCTGATTTGAAGAGGAGTCCTTGCTGAGCTCATTTCATCAACTGGTCATTGTGTCTAGACAAACTTGTTTGCTAGCACTTTATCAGTTAAATGGTTGTCACTCTGGCTAGACTTTTAACTGATGAAAATGCTGCTCAGTATACTAACTTTGCTTCGTGAGCCAGTTAAGGAGAAATTGTATAATATAGGATTTTGGATCTGGATGGTTCATACTGCATTATTCTCTTCCAGTCTTTGAGTTCCTTGCATTTCATGTGGATTTTAGCATTGTTCTAGAGGACTACTACGGTTTGATTCTGAACCACTGTAAGAAGCTGTTAATTTATACTCCGCCTGTCTCTCTCCCACTCAGAGCCGATAGTTTGCAGTCAGTGTTACAAAACTTTTAAACGGAAAGACTACCTCAAGCAGCATCAAAAAACACATGCAGCAGAGAGGGAAGTCTGCCGATGCCCGAGAGAAGGATGTGGGAGAACTTACACAACTGTATTTAACCTCCAAAGCCATATCCTCTCTTTTCATGAGGAGAAAAAACCATTCTCTTGTGATTATCCAGGCTGTGGAAGAGTGTTTGCAATGAAAGTATGTATTTTTTTACACTGTGCTAATCTGAATCACACAATCTGAAATGATAAACCTAACTTTTTTTTTTCCCCTTGCTCTTTGTAACTGTAGCAGAGCCTAGCAAGGCACGCAGTTGTACATGATCCTGAAAAGAGAAAGCTGAACTTGAAAGTAAGTTATATTCTTGAAAAAGTGTTCTCAACCATAACCTGTCACTTCAGAGGACCGTAAATATTACATATTTCAGAATGTGACTTCAAGCAGGAAAACAAACCAGCTATCTACTTTATTTGGGAGATGCTTAATTTCTGAAGCTCCTTTAAATAACGCAGTGCTGGCCTATTCATTGATTTCTTCTCCCCGCTCCCCCACCTCAGTAGTCTTTGCTCTACAGATATGTGAAGTTGCTAATTCTGGATTTGTTTATGCCAGGCAAAGCGTTCTCGTCCTAAGAGGAGCTTAGCCTCTCGTCTGAGCGGCTACATTCCTCCTAAAACACAGCCAGGAAAGGATGTGGTTGTGACAGAAAGCAAGACAATGGATAAGCCCATGGAAAATGAAATACCAACTGTTGAAATTCTGACCCTGCAGTAAAGGTTAACTGAGACAACTTTCTTCGTGGAATGACCAGTGCAAAGTTCAACGTTAACTTTATTATAGTATTTTTTGTAAATAAGAAATTAATATTGTTTACACTTCTACATAAAGTCACTGATGCAACTCACTTGACTTCTGATCTTCATTTCCATCTTCCTTTACTGTACTGTTTTTCTGTTTTTCCATCTTCTGGTATGCTTTCAACTCCTTGTCAGACATGTGTCTCAAAATACAGGTACTCACTCCTTCTCTAGTAACTTTTGGCTTGGAAAGATAAGTGGCTTTCTCGGAGACAGTCTCCAAAATCTGATCAAAAAGCACCAACTGAAAAGAAGGAGAAAAATAGGGACTAAATGCACAAGCACAGGTGAAAAGTCTTTCAGGCTGTTCTGTAATGATGCTCTCTCCTGCTTGGGGTTTAGCTATTAGCTGAAACCAGCTGGTTGCTAGTCCTAATTTGAGGAGTTCAGTGTGTCCTTTCCTAACCGTTTGTTCTTTACTCATAAGCAGGTTTAGGAATGTCACCAGAGGCATTAAGCCGTTTCCTAACACTTAGGTTGATTTCCTGACTCATCCTGTTTTGCTGTCTGAAGGCCTCTGTGAAAGTGGTTACAACTGCCTCTGACTCCTCCCCACCCTCCACTTCCGCTAGATTCGGGCATATTATTATGGGGCTTTCCTTTTCAGGGACAGTATTGTTCTAAGGTTAGCAGGACATGGTAGCATTGAACTGAGTGATACCGTGCATTCATTTAACAAGCTGAACTCATCATTAAACTCCTTAAATTAAGCTAATAATTAAACTTTTAAATTTAAGGACAACCTAGGTCTGGACTGTGTCATGAAATGTTCTGCTCCCTCCCATACCCAGTTCTTCCTCTTGTTACCCTTTCCCTGTTAATTCAACTTCCTATGAACAGCTTTGTTCCTTTTGGATGAAGTGATATCAATTTAGTAGAGACAGTTGTCAAGGAAACACAATTCACTACACACAATAAAAGGGAAAAAAAGAAATCTTACATGGAATCTTTATAAAACAGCCATTTGTGCAAATGACAATGAAGACAAGTCTCAGGGCCCTACAATTATACAAGTAAGTTGCCACCAGCACCCTAACATCTTTATAGGTGTTTACTTTGCCAGTTTGGGAACATCATTCCAGTAGTTTTCCACTCGGCAGTGAAAAACTAACCTTAGCCACAGTTGCACAAATGCATCTTCAGAACAGTTAGGTTATTGAAATAATCCAGCTAAAATAAAGATTATTTTTTTAACTATACTGTTAAAACTTTTCAGTGAGTGAGCTGTCTTAAGGCACAGATGGGAAATTTTCACCAGCTCAGTTAGTAAGATGGTGCTGCAAAAGAGTAGCAACTGCTTAGACTCTGCCGTCAAAGCCAGTATTATAACTGCATTCTTAAGAAAGCACGGTATTTGAGTTGTCTCTATGGAACTACATTTCTAGAACTGCAGTGTTTGAACAGATGCAGCTTAAGGTGGGGCAACTGTTACTTTCATGGGACCTAGACCTTCGCTTATTTTAGCAGTACAGGATATATTAAAAAATGTGGCTGTAATGAATAGAAGTTCATACAAGTACACCTATTTCATGAAATTCATAGAATGGCTTGGGGTGGAAGGGACCTTGAAGATCACAGGGTCCCACCCCCCCTGCCATGGGCAGGGACACCTCCCACTAGACCAGGTTGCTCAAAGTCCCATCCAGCCTGGCCTTGAACACCTCCAGGGATGGGGCCTCCACAACCTCCCTGGGCAACCTGTTCCAGTGTCTCACCACCCTCAAAGTGAAAAATGTCTTCCTAATATCTAATTAAATCTACCCTCTTCCAGCTTGAAGCCATTCCCCCTCGTCCTATCACTCCATGCCCTTGTAAAAAGTCCTTCCCCAGCTCTCCTGTAGGCCCCCTTTAGGTACTGGAAGGCTGCAATAGGGTCTCCCTGGAGCCTTCTCTTCTCCAGGCTGAACAACCCCAACTCTCTCAGCCTGTCAAGCCTGCCCAACTTTCAGAAGTCCACTTACCATGTCTGTATTGCTATCTTTTGCTTGCCGGATGGTAACTTTAACGTGGTGTTTCTTTTCAATCCACTGTGCTATCTGTTTAGTCTTGGTTTCCAAGTCATTCTTGGCAATAGCTGAAGAAAAGGATAACTCCTTCTGAACCACCCCTGTTAAAACAGAACTAAAACTGTGTTGGCTTAACAGCTGACAGCTGTATTAGTAGCACTCTTTCAACAGCCTGTGGTGCTTTGTCTGCTTAATTCCCTTCCCCTGTACTGCTTTTTCATACACAGACCATCCCAATCTCGTCTCAGCGTGCACCACTCTCACCTTAGAAGGTGGCTACTTGGTATCTCACGCTCACTGCTGTAATCAGGAGACTGAGTGCGTGTTTGAGGCACGCAGGGAAGTCTCTTCAGGGTCAGGAGACTTTTTCTTTTAATTAGTTTTATTCACACCACCCACAATGCAAGTCTACAAAGATAAAGAGGTAAGCATTGGAATTAAATTGGAATTAAAGACTTAGTGTGCAAATTCCTACATTCTGCACATAGCATAGCTAAATGTAAAACCTTGGAAGTTAGCTAGCTCTTCAACTCACAGCCATTTTCTTGAATGGTGAAGTGCAATATTCAGCTGGAAGTATGATGCCTTGTAATATATTTGAACAATTTATGGTCTCTTCCTCCTCCTTAACGATTCTCTAAAGTAGTTACCATTTGAGTAATCTTTAGTTTCTTGAACAGAAAAACTCACTACCATAATAGTGCTCTCCTCTAAAATCAGAACTCTACCCAAAGCACAGATACTTCGTTAGCCTGAGGATAAGGAAAGAGGATACAAGGTCAGATGCCTTTTCTAACACCTCTTTGCCAAACTCAGTTTGTTAAACTACTGGAGCTGGCTGACTTAAGAAAAAACACTGAAAAGCGTTCAATATTGAAAAAGTTGTTCTCTTACTCTGTACAAGAAATGGCTCCAGACTTTGTCTTCCCAGCAGCAAGCTAGGAGGAGAATGTTTCGTTACTACTGGTGACAAAATGATATTGGTGTATCTGGTGGTCAGTTTGTAAAAACTGCCTGTCACTTTATGCCTTAGCAAAAGAACAGAAAATCAGTGATTCTCATGGAGCCAGAGTCTAGTTATATTCACTTAAATAAAAATAGATTTGGAAAAAAAAAAAAAGCCAGCAGATGCCAAAATAGTAAATCCTGAGACGACAACAGAAGGCTTCAGTGGAAGACTAGAGTAATCCAAAACTTTATTTTCACCACTTCAGGTCCTTAATAGCGTGGACTACAGTGACATTGCTTTGGATTTACACAAATGCAAGTAAGAGGATTTCATCTGCTGAAACCACTTTTAATGCAGCATTTTTCAAAGTGCTCAGTGTTGTATCGTCAACATTGTACGAACCTGGTTTCGGACTTGCTTTTTTCTTCTCTGCGCGTTTAAGCTGTTCTTCGTGAATCTGCTGCCCAGTCATTAGTCTGTATACAGGAGGTTCTTCGTTCTCACGAACGAGAACTAGTTTCAGGCCATGTTGATCCATAAGTTTGAGTGCCTCTGCTCGGTGCATGTTTCCTAAGCTCTCTCCATCCTGGCTGATTACGTGCAAAATCCGATAGGGAATTCTTCGCCCAACGCTTCCAAACGCTGCTTTCCTTTTTGGTTCCGTGTGAGATTTTTCAGCTGTACAAAATGGTTGAGTAAATCCAAACACAGCTGACTTTCTAGGGTCAGGTACCACCATCCTGAATGGAGAAAAGACCTTCTTTTGTGGTGTTCGTGTCAGAAGAGTACCAAAGAATCTTTTTGCGTATCTATTCTCATTTCTGGTTGCTTGACATAAAAATTTCATCACGCAAAAGGTAGTCATCCTGAGGAAGCAGGGAAGAAATAAAAACGAGTTACCCCCATCTGTCAGATTCTTCTAGTTATATCAGAAAGACTTGACTCCAGCTTAGTAAACCCTAGTCCTTAAAACTATTATTTCCAAAAGATTCATGGTGTTACTACATGGGCTGAACAATCAACAGTATTTCGCAGTAACAGGTTTTTAACCCAGAGAGAAAATCTGACAGAGGAACAAAATTTATGAAGAATTGATGTTTCTTCAGTATTTTAAAATCTGAGCTTGAACTCTTTTAAAGAATCCGAAACTTCTAGTTCATTTCTCCTCATGAGAGTATCTACTCTTACATAGAAAGTGTACAGAGAGAGTAGCCAATGGTTAAGAGGGAGAATTTGTTGTCAAATAAAAAGGAATGTCACACTTACTATTTTCAGTGTATCTAAAGCCAGAACTTTCTTCCTGGTTCTGATACTCTTCTTTGGAAAGTGTTTCATTTAAGCCATGTTAATTCAGAACCACCCTCATCACATAGTGATTGAAATGGCAATTTGTGCAAAGTCCGTCAGCAGCCACCCCAATGTCTGCAGTCTGACTCTTCTATGTTTTGTAAGGTGTTGGAATTTCAAAGACTTGACCGTACAGAGTAAAACAGCCACACAAAATCACCTTGGCATTATAACATGACAAAGTGGCCATGACTGTACTTGAAAATATGGTTTATCCCAGGGTTGAAAACTCCTCCATAGCTAGCATGTAACTTGCTTCTCATAGCACTGACCCCAAATTTTGTATTTTTCTCAGTTTTCCAAATGTCATTTTGTGGAAGTAATCCAGCTAGTTACTTGGTCTTATATGGATTAAACACTAATATTATTTCAGTAACCTTAAAAAAAAAATCTTAGAAAAGTGTCTTCACTGTCTTTTAAGCTCAAGTCTCACAGATTCAGCCATGCTTCAAAGTGAAAACAGTGCCTTAATTTTAAACCTATTTTATCAGACCTTTATAGTATCAATTGACTGGGTCAGTTTTTCCACAAACATTAAATTTGGGGTGGCACATTCCTGTTTATGGTGAGCTGAGTTTTTCCAAGTACAGGAAAAGCCAAAGATGATACAGGAAACCAAAACCGTGTTGTATCAGAGGACTTGGCAAGAGTGCGGCTTCTTTTGCCTAGGAAGGAACGTGACTCCACTCTATAAATATATATATACCTACCTACCTATATGTATGTCATTGT